AGTGTTTTCTGTTCTATTGTAATCGAAAATCAGATACACTTTTACACTCGCTTTGAATATCAGATGCACATCGGTTAACCACTTATAGAATCATGATTTTTTTTGCATTACATGAAACTCGATCAGATATGTCTGCAAGACTCCGTGTACCTTATGTAATACTGGAAAATAATGTGAAAATCCAAAGTGCCTCCTAAAACTAACCCACCCATCATATAGATATGTACATATCGAATCAAATTAATTTTCATAAGATGATCTCTCATGAAACCTTCTTTGCACACTCTTATATAACATTACCTTCTATCGTTCATTTCGCCTCTTGCAACTTCCAGATATCTATTGATGTGTTTTTCCACAGCACTTGCGAACTGTCGAGCATTGCTTGCGCCTAGCAGCTCATAGGCACGATTCCGGACCTCAGGTCGTGGTGTGAGCAGAAATATTTGTGAGAGTGAATCGGCTACGTTGCCAGCTACCTGAACTTTGAAAATACTATTAGTGGATTCCGTGTTCTCACTATTGGGTGCGCATTAGTTCTCAATGTGTAAATCACCGTATTTGTATCCTCGTATTACTGATTGCTAAATATCATTATTCGTAACAATATGTTTTCTGATGATATTTCTTACATAACAGTGGTGACCACGTTCGGGTGCTCCATTACCCGCTTCGATGGTCTGGCAGGCCGTCATTGCCCCCCCCCCCCCCCCCCCCCCCCCCCCCCCCCCCTTTAATGACAAAGTGCAGCGCAGTTTGGGTTGAATGTGAAACTTTTCGGAAAACACAGCGAACGGAGCAATTTGGAAAAATTATGTGTTCATTTCAATGGAACAAAAGGAATTCTTTCAAACTAGTTAATGTCAGCGGATTGCTTGCGATGATTGTACTGTGGTGTGTAATGCGAGAAGAGAGGTAATTGGTTTGTGATGTAATTGTTGGCTCATGTGACTAATGCAATCAAAAGATAGGTAATTTGTTTTTAATGACCGATCATATGACTGTAGAAAAAGCTCTAAACTGAGTGGAAGAATCACTTATTTTGATAGGAAGAAGTGATGATAACGACGATTGATTTTGGAGTTGAAAGTTGAATGAAACTTTTAATTCATTCATATGTCACACATCCACCGAATGACTTTCTGTTTTCATTTTCGCCATTATACACACAAACACTCCACGCACAAACGCACGCTTTAAAATTGCAAACAGCGGCATTAACTAGTTTCGATATTTTCGTAAAATTTCTTTCTTCCATTGAAACGATTCGAATAATTCTTCTCGATGAGATTTTTGTATCTCAATTGAAGAATATCAATTTCTCCACACAACTTACTCATTTCACTTTTTCATACCACTTTTATTGGTTTGAGTGAGTGGAATTTCGACTGTTTTCAGTTGGGTGGTTGGTTTAGAACGAATGATGAATGTGAAACTTACGAAGAAAATCTCTCGTAGCCTGAAATTGCGGTGTTTGTGGGTTGCGTTCGAAACTATCGTGATCGAAACTTTTGAATTGATAAGTGAATTCTGGTAGTTGCGATGCTTTGATGGGATCGATTTGAACCGTGTTGATATTCCAGCTGAGATTTATTGGAGTGTTCATTTTGTTGTGATGATCGCCTTTGATGGCCGTTCTGTGAGCATTCACCGAAGTGACCTCTTGACCGAGGTCAGCATTATCCTTCGTGAGAAACATAGCACTGATGAACGAGTGATTTGGTGGTGATGATGAGTCGTTTGCAGCCTTAGTCATTGCTATACGGTGATGACGACTGTGCGCAACGTTGCATAAAAGCGGATAGCTGGACATTTCCTGCAAATAGCATCACTGACATTTTGTTACAGTAACAGTCTAAATGGTCTTGTTTTTTTGTGAAGAATGTACCGATTCATGTCAACATTTTGTAAATTTTAAACTGATAAAGAAAGCAATATGAAAGCGATAAGGAAATGAGCAAAATCAAAACTCACTTTAAATGCGTCACTCGGTTTATTAAGTGATGATTTGAGGGCAGTAAGAACAATATCAAGAAATCAGTGAGAAGAAAGTATTTGGGCAATTCAGATGAGAATCGTTCTGGTGTGTAAAATTGAATATAAAATTGAATATGATCAATGAGGGTACTAATAGTGATGAGGATATAAATTAGAGGATGGAAAGCACAAATTGTTTCAGTGAAGAGAGTTAAACGCAGTGGTATCACGTCGTACAGCTAGTTCACACACACCGAAGCAAATCACTGACAATGACGTCCAGTCACAGTTTGTTGATAATGCAGAAGCTTGTTGCAGTTGAATTTGAATTTTCGCGAATGATGACGACTTATTCTGATCTACTCCAACCAACATAGTATATTCGATTGATGACGAACGATTGCCATAAAGTGAGAACTACAGTGCCTTTTGGTGCGCTATATTTCACTTTTTTTCACACTGATCACAGATACCCGACGAATATTATCGTATAATAAGCGTACTGATGCTAGCAGATATCACTTCTGAACGATTCAGCAATTATTTCAATTAGTAGACCAGTCGGGTAGGACAACTACCTTAGCAGATTGACACTTGGACGAATAGCACAAAACGAACGAATTTGTTGCTGTGAATGGTTGGGGAACATCCATTCTATTTTATAAGGGGTTGCGTTGGGAAGGGGTGTGTTCTTAGACACGTGATCGGTTTTAATGGAGTGTAGATAGGAATAGCGCAACTTGCTGCGAGAATGAGAGAACGAAACGAAGACGACCATGAGCAGAGACGAATTCGTGCAGCGACCGTTTGGTTTGGTTCAGGTTTTGTGGGGATCTCCTCTGCTCGTCATCAGATTAACGCAAACAGATGCAACACACACACACACCTCTATTCATGGAATTCCTATGGGATTGCCCGTTTTGGGTGTGACGTTTTTTATTGGTTGATAACTCAGCAATCCATCATTTGATCCTTTCATATTTAAGAAAACAATCATTATTGGAATCGATTTTTCATATTTCATCGGCCAATTGTAATAAACCAAATTGTGGTAAATCAATTGACGTCACTAATCGCAGTTATAAAATTGTAATCACTGGCATCAATTGAATATCATCCTGATCGCATTTCATCAATAAACACTTTGCATTATCTGATGTTTGGTCATTCATAATCGTAAAGTTTATCTGCTATCTTTAGGTCAAATCTATTCCAAATAAGTACGGAGTGCAGTGTACTTTGAAACTTTTCGGGACAATGTTTACCGTTGAATGGATTTTATTCGTTCAATTACGGGAATATCATACGCAGTTTGCACTTAAATGTCTTAGTTGTGTCCCTTATTGCTAATCACATAACATTTGAACTGTTCGTTCAGAGAGATTGTTTTCTTGGACTTTAAAGCTTGACAGAAGTGTTCAATCGATCAGCGAACCAAATGTCAACAGATTCAAGGCAGATAGTGATTGAAAGAATTGAACCAAGACATGCCTCATCACTTTTATTCATGATTAAGGTTACATCATTCGTCTAATTATGCTTTCAAACATTACCGTCGTGTAATTGCTGATAGCTTACTTAACCGATATATCTAGTTCCATTCAATTCGAAACATCTTTTAGTTGGACTGTTCCAACAATTCAATCGAGAATTTCAGTGACATTTTATGTTTCTGAAGACGTCAAATAACACTGCTCTCTGTCGTTTAGGAATTGGCCAATTTTGAAAAAATGCCTCATAAAGTGGAAATGACTGAAGAACGTTTAGCTGATGATATCTCACGAGGTGCGTCAGTTATCCTTATACAATCAATTCGATTCAGCTTCAATTTGTGGTGACATATATTGAAGTGATAAATTTTTTTTTGAATAACGAAAAGATCGCGTTCGGATTATTCTGTTCAAAAATTCAAAAATCAAATGAGAAATTCGATAAAAATTGCTCAAAATCGAACGTTTCCATGGATGAATTGATGATGAATGTTCTATGAGCGAATAATTAATTTGTATTGATGGCGTGATAAACATATTGAAACCAGTTGTTTGACGCAAACAACTATAAGTACTTGTCATAGATTTTTCTTAATAGATAAGTTATGTCATTAAACATTATTCCAACTGTTTATCGTCGCACAACTTTCGAATGTAAAAATAACTCAATGAGGCATTGATCGTTGATTCAGGTAAACCTAAGTTTTGAGTTCAAATGATAATTTCGTTAACGATTAATTGATTTGCCACATTTCGTGGGCATATAAACAAGGTGTTTACTACCTGGTTTCATATTCTTACTATTTGCTGAATTTCAAATGAACGACTCATAAAAACAGTACTGTTTTCGTCGGTTGGAACTTCACATGTTAAAAGGCGATTTTTTTGTGTA